ATCGCAGCTCCAGCCCCGTCGTGGCTCGTCTGGCAGAGCCTCAGATCGGGCATGTCCTCCTACAGGCGAACTTCGGGCGAAAAAATCAGACATAATCAAAAACATCTACAAACATAGCCAGACCTAAAAAAAAACAAGAAATTAGAACAATCGTCCCCTGACTAGTTTTGGTACTGTTTCGAACATTCCTCCTGTGGAGGGCAAGGCCCGACTTGATCGGGGGAACGCAAGGGGGGGATAGCAAAGGATAGGTAGATCATCAGCTCTCGTAGCCGACCTTCCCAGCGCCTCCCCGCGCCGGGAGCGCCCATGCATCGAGGCATGGGCCCGGCGGCGGGGCCGAAACCGGCTGCCTGCAGCAGCTCTCGTGCCCTCCTGCCCCCTATTCGGGGGCGGCCAAGAGGGGGGTGTCCAAGAGGGGGGGTGCAAATCATGACCGGCGGCACGTGCGCGGCCCAGCGGGGTGGGCCAGGGACGTGATGAAATAAGAAGCGTCGCCATGAAATCTGGGGAAATATCGTGGCCCACGCCATGATATCCACCCCCTCCCTAGTCATCACCCCCCTTTTTCCCGCCCCCGACCTATCCCTCCCCCCGCGTTCTGCCCGAGGGCCCCCCGCGGGCCGCTGGCCGGCCCTCTCTCCGCGGGGATCCGCCGGGCCTCGGGCGCGCGCGCCCCGCCGGACCTCGGGCCCGCCGGCGCGCGCCACCGGGGCACTCGCCAGGCGCTCGGGCGCCCCTCCCCCGAGGCCGAGACGCGGGGCCCGAGGGGACCTGTCGAGCTCTATCGGCGGTGGACAAACCTCCCTTTTAGTAGCTCCTCCCTCCTCCCTCCTCCCTCCTCCCTCCTCCCTCCCTCCTCCCTCCTCCCTCCTCCCTCCTCCCTCCTCCCTCCTCCCTCCTCCCGTCTCCCGCCTCCCGCCTCCCGCCTCCCTCCTCCTCCTCCTCCTCCCTCCTCCCTCCTCCCTCCTCCCTCCTCCCTCCTCCTTCGGGAAAACGGCCTGGGACCGAAACCGACGGACCCGGACCTCCAAAAATGACGGCCGCGACGCCCTCTCGCGAACCGAAAACGGCCAATTCCTTGATCGACGTGTCAGGGTAGGAGGTCTGTCCACCCCCGCAGAGAGAGGTGGCCTGGAAGCTCCCACGAGGGCCCCAAGAAGCGGCCCAGAGGCCCTCGAGAGGCCCCGAGAGACCCCCAAGGGCCCCCAAGAGACCTTCCAAGGGGGCCCACAGAGGCAGACATGAGTGGTTTTCCTGTGACTGTTAGGTTTTGCCGTTCTCGCCTTGGGGGCTCACTGGCGCTCCAGGGCGGCCCTAGAAGCTTTCAGGATCGCTCCAACATGGCCCAATAGCCCTTTCGGCTTCGTGCGCTCCACCCGGACCTCCTCGCTGTGTGAAGCTGTCACGACGGGAGGTTTCTCGCTGCTTTCGGCCTCCGGGGGCCCTCACCAGGCCTCGGGGCCGTCGAAAAGAAAACTCAGGAGGAAGAGCCGGTCCCCGGGCAGGGGTCCAAGCCTCTGGGGGTCGACATCGTGAAAAAATCGCGACGTCGGGTGTCTCGGAATTTTGTGCAACGTGATCCGGGGTGCTCGTCGATGGTCCTCGCCGAGGGGAACGGCACACGACCGAGCGATACCAAGGGCAAGCGTGGAGCCTCGCTGGCGGCGGTGGCGCCGCCCTGGAGGCCACGGAGCACCCCGAAAACGCTGACAGCGATTCCTCTCGAAGGGGGTAGATCAACGGCGAGCGAGGGGGGGAGCGAGAAGGAGAAGGCCTTCTCAGAAGGCGGCGGTGCCTCTCCGAAGCCCCTCGCAGCTTCTGGTAGGTTTTTGTTTCGTGCCTCTGGGGACAGCTTAGAGCAGCTGCTCGGAAGCCCGGGGAGCTGCGCGCTCCGCGCGCTGGGCAGGGGGTCCAGCGCCGATCCCACGAAATCCGCGCGGTGCTCCGAACGTTTTTTTTTTTGTTGGTTCGCTCCGCGGTCATCAGACACGAGATCCAGACCACCAACGTCATGATTTGCACGCAACGTCGACCCCCAGAGGTCTCGAACCACACGTGGAGCCCGGATATCCAGAGGAGTGGCCCGGAAACCGCAGCAGAAAATGCACGTGCCGTGACGCACGTGCCGTGACGTGCCGTGATAGGTAGGAGAGGAAGGAGGAGAAGGAGGAGGAGGAGGAGGAGGAGGAAGAGGAGGAGGACTGACTGACTGACTGCCACCTGAAGTGCCGATCTCTCACGGTCATCGAGGCTCGCTGAGAAACTCGAAAAAGCAAAATCAGTTCGAGGAGTTGGGATTATCCCAAATTCTCAAACCTCGCGGCACGGCGAGCCTTCGTGAGGAGCTCGTCTAGCGGGGGGGCCGCTAGGCATAGGGCGGCACCTCCAGCGCCATCGCGGCGCCAGGTTCGCCCAAGCGGACCCCGACGAATGGGGGGTCCGCGGGGAGCAACCTGCACCTGACACACTCCTCGGCAGAGAACGACAACGACGACGACGACGACGACGGAGAGGACGGCCCGCACTCCCTGCCTCGATGCCGGGCGCAGGGCTCCGGCAAGAGAGATGGGCAAGACTGCCCTCCCCGCCCACGGCCCTGCCGCCACTCATGGGTGATCACATGCGAGCCCTACCCCTACCCCCCACCGACTTCTGAGGGGAGGGTTGGGGTTCGCTTCGCTCGGGAGCTCCCGAACGAAGTACACCCCACCCTCCCCCTCAGAAATCGTGGGGGGTAGGGGTAGGGCTCGCCTGTGGCCCCCTAACTCAGGTTTTTACTGGCGGAGGTGGCGAGGAAAGGCGGATCGTGAAATCCGCTGCCCCTCAGGAGGGTTATCCGGCCAGCGCGGTTCCAGGACCAACGAGAACAGCGAGTTATGCGCACTGCAAGTCGCAGAGAAGCGATGGGAAAACTCAGTGGCAGTCCAAGCGGTCGCAGCTTGGACCAGACAGCGAGACAATCAGAGTGACACCAAGACTCCGAGGAGGAGGGTACCGAGAGCTCTGCCGCCAGTCCTGCCTCTCTCTCTCTATCTCATTCGCATTATTATACTTATCCGTCTTCTTCTTCTTTCTTCAAAACAAGATTCCGCCGATGCCTTTGGTTTTCTCTGCCGAAGCCCTGCCCCCGGAGCTCGGCCCAGCTGGTTTAAGGAGGGGGGGTCACCCGGGGGGTCCAGACGGATTCATCTGGATTCCGCTGGGGGGGCATGTGCTTCACAACTGCCCCCAGCCAGCCTCTGACGGTCGCGACATAGCTCCAAGAGGCCTCACCACGGGCCAACATGGCCTCAACGCGGCCCCAAGTGGCCTCAAGACGGGCCTGAACAAAGCCCAAGAAGTCCCCAAGACACCCCAGAGGGATCAAATAGGACTCCCCAAGAGGCTCTCAGAAGCACAAGTCGCCCCCGTCCCTGAGGAACACACGCCTTTTTCGCATTCCGCCTCCTTTGCTTTTCACGCATCCACGACGGCCCAAGAGGTCCCCAAGATCGCTTCATGATTCAAGACCGCCCAGGAAGCCCCAAGATGGCAACGAGGATCTTCCAAGAGGCCCAAAAAAGGGAAAACGGGCGAAGGGTAGAGGTACCTTTTTCCCCCCCTGACAAGAGATCCCCAGACGGCCAAGGATGTCCCCAGGAGGGCACCAAGACAGTTCTAGAGGGCTCCAAAGCGGCTTCAAAGGGGCCCCCAACAAGACGGCCTCGGGGCAGCCCGCAAAGCAGCGCCTCCGACAGGAGCGCTCAGGAGCGCCCGAAGACGACGCAAGGCGCCCTCGAGAGATCCCAGGATGACGCAAGAAAGCCCCCGAGAGACCCCAAGATGCACAGAGGGGCCCGTCAACGATTTCTGATTCGGCGTTTCGACATTGGGCGGAAGAGGGGGGGGAGGGGGGGGTTCTGGCTCCGGACCTCCACTTAGCGAGGCTGTTTGCAACAACGCTTCCATCCTGGGGGAGACTCCACCTGCTCGAAACGGGTGCCGAACAACAGCCAAAATTTACTCCATGGGGGGGGAAGGCGGGGGGGCGAGGGCCCGCGCCGACCGGAAAAACAGTGAATAATGAAACGATTAGGAACCACCAAGTGCCTATGATCTACCTGCTTCGGACGTGCAGTCCGCGGGGCATCCACGGAGGCCACGGGTGGTCCTTCACGACGACGCCCCCAAGCGCGGGACACTGCTCCCCCCCATCCCCACATGTTCGTGCTCTCGCTTTGTTGGACCTCGAGCAGCCAACTCGCGCTCGAAGATCTTGCCGGAGTAGGGCAGAAGGGTCGGCAGTGCGGCGTCAGCCTCTCAATGATAATAAGACGCATAAATCTGAGGCTTTCAAAGGTCCGCGCGGCTTTCTTGGATCGGCACTCTGCCCGCACTTCCTGGTGCGCGGAGCGCGCCAATAGGGCGGCGCCGCCAGAGAGGGGGTCAGCGCCGATCCAAGAAACAAGCGTGGACCTCCCGAAGGTTTATGATCCTCCTCCTCCTCCTCCTCCTCCTCCTCCTCCTCCTCCTCCCCTCCTCCTCCCCCTCCTCCTCCTCCTCCTCCTCTCCTCCTCCTCCTCCTCCTCCTCCTCCTCCTCCTCCTCCTGCTGCCTCCTCCTCCTCCTCCTCCTCCTCCTCCCTCCTCCTCTCCTCCTCCTCCTCCCCCCTCCTCCTCCTCCTCCTCCTCCTCCTCCTCCTCCTCCTCCCTCTCCTGCCCCCTCCTCCTCCTCCTCCTCCTCCCTCCTCCTCCTCCTCCTCCTCCTCCTCCTCCTCCTCCTCCTCCTCCTCCTGCTCTTCCTCTTCCTCTTCCTCTTCTCCTCCTCCTCCTCCTCCTCCTCCTCCTCCTCCTCCTCCTCCTCCAGCCTTTACTCATTCCTCGGCGTTTTAGGGAGAGGGCTGCTGTGGAGCGGAGTGGTTCTCCACGAGTCGATGCTGGGCCTGCCCCTGGCTCGAGCAAAGGCCCCCGAGAGAGGCGGTTCGCCCCCCGCCGCTGCCGCCGGCCCCCTTTGCCCCTC